TTGGACTCTGTTTGATATGGATATTCCGCGAAACAAAAAACATGCAACAAACATGAACTGGCATTGGGCACTGGATCAATATGTTAGTCCCAAAATTAATATAAAAAGTTGTCAAAAGTATATGAAACTTGTAGAATATTGGCATGAAACAATCAAAAATTATAAATACGACAGAGACGTATCAATAAACATGGCACGTCGTGAATGCATCGGCCGTCTTTCACCACTCATCCACCTCTCTCTGTCCTATCGCTATCCTTTCACTCCAAACCACCGAAGAACCACCACCGATCCTCACTTATCGGTGGCCGAAATCCCCCCACCCCCACCCCTGGCATTTCTTCGGCGGTGGTGCTGGCTCTGTTCCCAGCGGTGGCGCCGAACCACTCCTCTGTGAGCGGAGGCACGAGGAAGGTGTTGGCGGCCGGGGAGGCGGCGGCGCCGTCCTCCCACATGGGGGGCGGGGGCGTGGTAGCCCACGACGTGCGGTGCAGGCGATGGGCCGGTGGTTCAGCCACACTTTAGCAAGCCAGTGGTGAAGAAGACAACATCGATTCGCAAAAGCAGGAGCTCCGACGCCTCTTCCTCGTGCCTCTACATCGGTAAGCCGATGGTGCCGAGCGCGGTGGGAGATTGTGATGACGGCAGAGAGGAGATGGGGGAGGAGTTGCACCTGGAGATAGCGGCGTGATTCTAGGCGCGACGAATGTTGAGCTGCGATGAGGGAGCCAAGCCGTCGTCGTTCACCTCTCGCTCATGTGGCATCAAGCATCCTGTGATGAGCCAGCTGCCGCAAGGACTTATGCCGCGCACCACCAGATTGGACCTGGGCCACCCCCATCTCGTGGCAGAAGGCGCGCCAAGATCCAAATCATCTAGTACCTCCTGTACTCCCCAACATTTTCTACGGCAAATTTGTTTAAATTGCCATTTGATCCCATGAATTTTTGCCATGGCATAAAGTTTTCCATATCTCCATGGGATTGATTAGTAATCGTTGACACATGTCCATGATTTTCCATGGTCACTCGCACTCACGATTAGCATGGTCACTCATACTCCTAATTGCCATGTTCTGATTTGTTAATTTGCTATGGGATTGTTAGGTAATCTGTTGCCACATGTCCTTGATTTTGGCACTGACACTCATACTTGTGATTGCCACAGTCATACTTCTGCAAAGTGCCATGACTTTTTTCACTTTGTTGTGCTCATACTTTTGCCATGACTTGTTGATACATGTGAAAATTTTAGTAAACATGCCATGCTATTTTCATACATTTTGGCCATGACTTGTTGATACATGTGAAAATTTTAGTAAACATGCCATGATGTTTTCATACATTTTGCCATTACCTACACATTGATAGTTCTTAAACTTCCCATCCTTCATCCTTACACATAATCAGCTAAATTTCCATGAATGTAGATAGTTTCTCTTCTTTTTTTGTCTCACTTTTGATTGTTGTGTAATTTCTATTTGTAATAGTATCTCCGTAATGCATGGCCACTAAAAGCATTTTTGTTGCGATGGTGTGTTTGCCATGAACAACTAAAACCATATGTATTTTTGTTAAATTTTGTAGTTCTTTTTGCAATGGCAAAAATTGAAGCATTTGTTTCCTGACGACAATTTTTCGTTTTGCGCCTTTATCATATGTACTTGCTGAATTTCGTCGTGGTTACTTTAGATGTATTTTTTGCCATGTCATCCTTTTGAATTGTAGTTTATGGATCATGGCAAAAAAATTCATTTTACACCAATGGAAACAAATGTCTTTTCTAATTTAGCCATGGCAAATTTTAAATTCTAATATAGACATGGCATTTTTCCCTTACAAAAAGCATGAAATTTATAATAAAAAGACCATGGTAATTTATAACATTCATTTGTCATGGAGTACATAATATGGCAAGTTTAATTAAAATGCCACAGCAATTTTTAATATATTTTTGCCATGGAAATTTTTGTTCATAACTTGTGTTGCACTTTACATACATGGCATTTTTCTCATACATAACATGGCAAATTTAATTAAAATAACATGGCAATATTTTATATGAATTTGCCATGGCAATTTTTGCTCATAACTTTGTATTGTACTTTTCATACATGGCAATTTTCTCATAAATAACATGGCAAATTTAATTAAAATACCATGGCAATTTTTGATAGGAATTGTCATTGCAATTATGTTCATAAATTGAGTTTTACTTTTTCATACATGACATTTTTCCTCATACTGAACATGGGAAATTTAAATTACCATGGAAATGTTTGATATTAATTGCCATGGCAATTTTGTTCATAATTTGAGTTTTATTTTTTTGTACATGACATTTTTCCTCATCACATGGCAAATTTAATTAAATATCATGGTAATTTTTGATATTAATTTGCCATGGCTATTTTCTTGTTCATAATTTTGAGTCTTACTTTCCGTACATGACATTTTTCCTCATAAAGACCATGGCAAATTTAATTCAAATATCATGGCAATTTTTTATATTAATTTGCTATGGAAATTTCTTGTTCATAATTTGAGTTTTACTTTTCATACATGACATTTTTTTCTCATAAAGAACATGGCAAATTTAATTAAAATACCATGGCAATTTTTGATATTAATTTGCCATGGCAATTTTCCTGTTCATAATTTTGTGCTTCAACTGTTCATGCTACATACGGACATGGCAACTAAAATCATACGTCCTTTTGTCGAGTTATTATAGATGCTTTTTCCATGGGGCGACTAAAATTATGTCATTTTTGTTTTGATGGCAAGAAGTTCCTTTTTCTTCTTCTTTTTTACTGTTTTGTTGTTTTTATGGACTTTTTTCTTTTTTGTGTGCCTTTTATTATGGTCTGGGAAGAGGCCCAACAAAATGGGCTGTTGGGCCTTTTTTGTTGGCGCTGGTGAAGGTCGTTCGGGCTGGAGGGGTCTTTCACCGAACAATTTGGTTCGGTACAGTTTCATGTTCGAGCGAACCAATCGTTCGGTCTAGGACACCTCAGACCGACAAGCGCTTATATAGATGCGCATACACTCATCCTTATGAATGCATACACGCACACTTTTTCCACTGAATGTGCATCGCCGAAAATTCTGAAATAAATGCGAGCACCAGGATTTGAACCCTGATAGGTTGGGGATACCACAATCTCTTTAATCATCCAACCACATGTTGGTTCGTGGAAATTAAGTTTTCATATGTACAAATAATTATAGCTTATCAAAAATCTTTCCGCAAATATTGTACGTATATCACAGTCATTTGTGGAAGGGGACTGCTACGCGTCGGCCGACGGATCTTTTTAAAAAATTCGCCGCCTCGCGAACCGTCTGATTTGATAAATCAAGCAGATGCACGTCTTTCTCTAATTTGCAACAGAGACCTTATTGCAGAAACACTTGTAACACATATTATCTTGTGGAATTTTTTTGCAACATATGTTATGTTGTGGGATTTGTTTTTGCAACATAGCTTGTGTTGAGGAATTTTTTGTTGTCTCCATTTTTTTGCAACAAAGGTATTGTTCCAAAAAAAACTTTGCAACTGAGGTGATGTTGCAGATTTTTTGTCTTTGTCTTCACCTTTATATGGTGGTACGAAAGAAAGTTTTGCAACATGACTAATGTTGCAGAAATCTTCCTTGCAGCAAATTGATTGTTGCAAAAGAACACCATTATTGTTCGCCATGAGCTCATGTTGAGCGGTGGTGAGGGGGAGCGGCGCCGCCCATCCCTGCCATCGCGTCGCCGCCGACGTGCACCCACCGGACGGTGGTGAGGGAGGAGAGGCGTCGCCCGTCCCCCATCGCGCCCCTCAACGAGCGACAGACCTTCGACCACTTGCTTCGTCACCATCCTCCTCACCGGCTAGATGTATGCCATTGATAAGCACTTGTATACGGAGGAGAGAGATCGAAAAAGAAATAAGATGACGGAGAGAGACGAAGAGATAAGACGTGGGTAGCCACATGTCAAGCAAAGGGACTGGCAGATGGTCTGCAACATAGCATTTGTTGCGGTTTACTTTCTGAAACAGGTAAACAGTTGCAGGAATGAGAGTAGCAGTTCCATTAAGATAAGAACAAAGGAGAGATGTGGTGTGCAGGCCTAATCAAGATGCGTGTCAAGTATAGAATGCGGCGGACACAAAGAAAAAAGATCTGTTGATTGAACACCAGCTTTTTCCTCTGTGGAAGCAGTTTAGGAAAACAATTGGTAGTCAATGGTGTCGGCGTGATAAACGGAAGGAGTTTTTTTTTTTGAAGTTATAAACGGAAGGAGTTATCAAGACACATGCCATCAGAAAGGTGACCAGATCGTACGATCAGTGTGCATCTAATCGTATGGTCTTCGATTGATCTGATAGCAGCAAAGGATCAGTAGTCTGATCCTAGACGTCTCCTATACTCCCTTCATTCTCTTATACAAGGCCATAAACTCATATTATAGGTACCAAGATAAAATTTAATGACTCATTTGCAAGTCAATTTTTTTTTGTTAAGGATCATTAATACACCACAAGCATGCAACGAATGAATGGAAAGGAAGTGACTGAGTGTTATTATGACTACATGCATGTAAGTATTAAAAAGTTGCTAGTACGAGGAAACATTATTAATTTTTGCCTTAATTACTGTTGGTGGCTTTGTATTGATGTAAAATGTATTTTTGATAATGGTCTTGTATAAGGAAATTGAGGGAGTAATTAACTTGATCCAAGGGGTCCCTCAAAAAATAAAAAATAAAACTTGATCCAAGGGGCCATCCAGTGGTCTGAAGCGGGCAGTACCTTCTGACAGTTAATGCCGTAATCACTCAGCCCTATAGCGCACGCTGGTTAATGCGACATAATTAGCCGGACATCTAAGACGGACGCGCTTTCTGCGAACCTGGACGGATGGTGTGTTCATCGTCTCGTTCCATCAGGAGGGTTCCTTTCTGACTAAAATAAATACGGCAGCACAAAGGCGTACGGTCTTCAAAGCCATGGCGACGCAGCAGATCGCCCTCCTTCTCTTACTCCTCGCCGCCGCCCATGGCCTCTCCGTGGCCGTCAGCCCTACACCCATCATCAACACCACATGCGCTGCGCTCGCCCACAGCCCCAATGTCACAGTGCACGTCGACTACGAATTCTGCGTCCGCGCGCTTTCAGTCGACCCGGCGTCCTCGTCTGCCACGGACGCCCGCGGGCTAGCGGCGGCCGCGGCAAGCCTTACCGTCGCCAACCTAACGTCCACGGAGCACATCATCGCGGACCTCGTCCATAATCTGGGCCGTTGTCTTACCGACTACAGAGAGATTAACGGCATGGTGCGGCACGCGCTCGACGACATCCGAGGCGGGCGCGGCGCCGACGCTTCCGAGAAGCTTTTGCAAGTGGCAAAGGCAAACGCTCCTGCTTGGTGCGACCTCATCTTGATAGAGGGAGACGCCAAGAGGAACCCCATAGATCAGGAGAACCATAACGCTGACTTCTTGTCCGTCATTGCCTCCGGAATTGCCGAGCTGATGCTGCATTCTCATGGATGATCACCAAAAGATCCGAGCTGAATACATGGCTCTTGTCTTCTTCCAGTTTTAATCATTTATATATCATATACAGTATGTGGGTTTGGGTTTTCTTATAAACATTTCTGTATCAGTCCAATGATCCAAATACAGCTTTATTGGTCAGAAATATGGGATCGCCTATTCAATAGTTGCTTGAAAAAAAAATTGGTTTCGGTTGATTTAGTCCCAGACGATGGATTGAAATCCAACGGATGTGCTTCATCTTCCTCCTCCCGATCGCATTATTCCTCTTTTCCCCTGTGACATGCATCTATAATGGCGGGGGGCTGCCGTGTGCCTCGCTGCCCGCCCTCTAAAGTTGGTAGAGAAAACCTTTCCCTCCATCTA